TAATTTAGGCTTTCTGATTCCTGGTTAACTGGCTTCAGCGAGTTCGTATTTTAACTGACACTGATAGTCCTTACTTCGTGGAGTGACTGAAACGCCTGCTGGTCTCCATCACTACAGCCAGCATAGGATCTTCCGGTATCACTGTGGCTTCTCTACCTACGAAATCGAGAATGTCATCTCTCCGTTACAGTACGGCCTACAAAATATTCTTCTGGGTCTTTCGATGGATCTAGAGCCAGTAATACTGCAGAATTGTCTCATTTAGCGCTGTGAGTGATGAGGGAGAAATTATGACATAAGAGTGAGGCAGATTTATTTAGAAGTATCATTTATGCCCAGCCCATCCCTGACGATGACAGGGTCTTCGTAGTGAAACGCGTGCAATAAACAGTTTTACCATCTGTTGTGTTTCGTTTTCAGAAAAGTGAATCGTTCGGCCACCTATGTATCCAAATTTATTTCGACTGGTACTTTTTGCAAGTATAAATTACGCGAAGGATCGAGATTTTCAAAAAAGTTTAAACTCTTTCGAATGAGTTATTGGCAACCAGTGCTATCGTAAATTTTGATTCTCAGGCATTAAACTGACATGTTTGTTTGCCTAGAGTTTTGACATGACTTCTGCTGTTGACTCGTGTCGCGTCATCGATATGCAACGTCACCTGTAAATTAAAGCTGTACGATGGAACAACGACGTTCCCTCATCCCAAATGCAAATTAGTCTTCAATGAACCCTCGCCACAGCAGACCTGCTCTGAAGTGACATAAAGAGAAAAAAGCTTTGAGCTTGAGAAGAAAGTGATTTAAAGCCTGGAACGCATAACAGTGTTCTTTCTTCAGCCAAAATTAATAATATAATTATCGAATTGACAAAAACTGTCAATTATGTAATAAATTCATTTTTACGAAGAAGTATGAGATGCGCGTAGAAAACTGTGAAAAAAGATGAATGAAGAGACGGGTTAAAAAGAAGGGGAGACGAGCAGGAAAAACAAGCAAAACATATCTGCATCAGAGGACGTGGAATGGTAGAATCTAAATCATTAAAGGTCAGATCTCGAATTGACAAAACATCCTTGAAGCTTAATTCCTCGTTTAC